GTTCCTATAATTTGCTTCCCCTTCCTACTATAGGTAAGTAGCTCCCCCTGAACCGTGGGCCTAACACCTCTTGTCTCCTTTTCTTCTTCTTCTTCATTCTCCTGCTCCTCAACCAATTCTCCCTCCCAAGGAATCAATAGAGAAATCGATTTCTCCACATTATTCTCTACATTGTTCACCTGCCTCTCACCATTCTCCCACTCTCGCCTCATACTTCCAGTATCAGGCGAGTCACCAACGGATGAGGTTACCTCCCGGGTGTAATATGGCTCGAGTTCTCGAAAGTGCACATCCATGCTCACAAACAACCTCTTCTCCACCGGGCTCCAGCAAACATATCCCTTCTGAGTAGCAGAATATCCCACAAAGATGCACTTTACCGCTCTAGGGGCAAGCTTTCTGACGGATGGCCTGTTGTCCTTCACAAAGCACACACAACCAAACATCTTTAGTGGAAGAAGCCCACCATTATCTCCTTTCAACGTCTCACATGGAGACTTCCAATCCAGCACTCTCGAGGGCATTCTGTTGATCAGCGCCACTTCTGTCAATACTGCTTGCCCCCATAATGTTTCTAGGACATTCATGGAGATCATCATGCTTCTAGCAACCTCTAAAAAATATTTGTTTTTCCTCTCCGCTACCCTATTCTGAGCTGGTGTGTATGGACATGTGGTCTGGTGCTGTATTCCCTGAGCTGATAAGTATTCCCCAAGCACTCTGTTGGTATACCCTGTCCTATTATCAGACCTCAATACCTTTACCACTGCTTCGTATTGAGTCTGAACATTCTTATGAAAGTTTTGGAAGCAACCAAACACTTCACTCTTATTTTTCATCAGGTATAACCAAGTAACACGAGTATGAAAGTTTTGGAAGCAACCAAACACTTCACTCTTATTTTTCATCAGGTATAACCAAGTAACACGAGAGAAACAATTTATTTTTCATCAGGTATAACCAAGTAACACGAGAGAAACAATCAATAAAGGTAACAAAATACTTGTATCTATTTATAGAACTTGTGGAGCAAGGCCCCCCAAACATTTGAATGTATTAGGTCAAATGCACGAGAACTCCTATGACCTGAACTAACATAAGAGATTCTAGTAACCTTTCCAAACTCACATGCATCGCACACAAGTTTCTGTTTATTTTCTCTCTCAAATAAAGATGGATACAACCTACTTAAAACACTAAAAGATGAGTGTCCTAAGTGCTGGTGATGAAGCATCAACATACTCTCAACACTCATATCAGATCCTACTCCTGCTCTCTCTACCATAAATACCAATGCTGAGTCCAGCCCTTCACGATCCAGGTACCACAGTTCACTATTCCATATGCTAGTCCCAAGTCTCCGTCATGTCCCCTTCTCCTGGAAGATCACCTTTGGAATGTCAAAAGAAATAATGCATTTTAGTTGGAGTATGATAGCACTAATAGACAAAAGATTGACTGGAAAGGAAGGAGCATGCAAAACATTGGACAAAGTTATCGAATCTGTACAATTAACAGTACCCTTACCAACCACTGGCTGAAATGTACCATCAGCGGTTTGAATACTATCAGCCGATGCTAGGTGAGTATATGATGAGAACTCACTAGCATTACATGTCACATGTCGAGACGCACCGGAGTCGACTATCCATTCTGATGACCTATCGGGGGACATAGAAGCAAGAGCATGTATGTCCTCAGTACCTTTCGTCGGATGAGTATAAGTAGCAGTGTTGCCTCTGGCGAAGAACGAAGTGGATGCCTCCTCAGTCCCACTCCTCCTGTCTCCATCTCCTGCTACTCTCTGCTTCCTCCTGAGTATCTCTAGAAGAGCATGATCCTCCTCAGTAAAAACCAACTCAGGTGCTTCCTCTCCCTCTGCTACCACCAGATTCGCCCGGTTGTCTGCTCCTCTTCCACCTCGTCGATCTCCACGGTCACGACCACGACCTCTGAACTGTCCACGACCACCCGAATCTCCTTCCTTGGGTGGCTTGGTGCAAGCATGCCTTAAATGACCCACTTCACCGTAGTTATAGCACTGTCGAGTCTCCCCCTTGGATCAAGAGTTGGAGGCTACCAGTGCTGACTTCACCACTGGAAGTCTACATGTCCCCGCCTGCAGCCTAATGTGAGTCTCCTCCTGGATCATGGCCGAGACTGCCTCCTCAAGTGTGGGAATATTCAGCTGAGCTAGCAGCAATGCAGTCCTCTGAGCAAACTCTGATGCCAGCCCCTTGAGGAACATCATAGTCCTCTCCTGTAGAAAGGCCTCTCGCTCCTTACACTCCGGGTCCTTACAGCTCGTCCAAGGTGAGAAGTGATCATAATCTATCCACAGGTGTTCCAGCTCTGTGGCATACCCCTGGACAGTCCTCTCTCCCTAGACAGTGACGTCGATTTCTTCTTTGATCTGGAACACCCTCAGGTTATTCCCCACCCCATCATAGGTGTTCCTCAACTTCTCTCAGACATCCTTCACCTTCTCAATGCAATCTACTGTGGCGGCGATCGACTGGACCAATGAGTTGAGGAACCAGATGTACACCAACATATGAGTGGACTTCCACTCATCTCTTCCAACTGAGCCTTCAGCCGGCTCTGTCGTCTCTCCTGTCAAGTACCCGTCCAGGTTCCTCCCTACAATGGTGTATCTTACCCGTCGTGACCAACTTAGGTAAGTAGCTGGTCCATCAAGCTTCAGATCGATGAGTGGAAGGTCCAACTTTTTCGGTGGCCTTGTTGCACTCTCACCAGCCGACAACTTCATCAGCTGCATCAAAGTTGAAACCTCCACGGGGTTCAACTTCTTGATGATCTCCTCTATCGATCAGGCTCTAGTTTCACCACTTGTTCTCCTTCACTTGTTGTGCGTAGTGAAAAATTCGGCAGCACTTCTGCTGCACAACAAGAGTAGGATCTTAACTAAATTATTGTTTCTCCAAGGAAACAAGAATCGATAGTGATATATCTCAACACCGTGAGATATACACTCTTCCTCTCATCAGTTTTAGGACTGAAATATCGAGGGAATCGAACAAGCTACACATCCTCTCATTAGTTCTATGACTGATATGTTGAGGGTATCCAACAAGCTATAAATCATCAAGGCTCGGCTTTGGCGGCGGGGGGGGGGGGTAGGGGGTAGGCTGGGGACTGCGGGGGGGCCGCGAGACCGGGGGGCTACAGAGGGGGCTGCAGAGGGGTGCTCCGAGGGGGGTAACGAGGGGGGGCAGCGGGAGGTGGGGCTTGCAGCCAGGGGGGCCAGCGAGAGGGGCTGCGAGGGGGGGGGCGCAGCGGGAGGTGGGGCTGTGCAGCCGGGGGCCAGCGAGACGGGGGCGCTGCGAGGGGGGTAGCGGACTCGCGGTGTTTTTTTGGGGGGGGGCGGTTAGGGTTTGGGTGGAGGCTCTGATACCATGAAGAAAATAGATAAAACCCTAATTGTATTATGAAATCTCTTGGGCTTATATAGGCCCCTACAAATACAACTTCCAAATAACCCCCTCACTATTATCAATATGTCAACAATTCCCCCATGTTCTTCACACTTTTATTCAAGCATCAACGCTCCCCATGTTCTTCACACTTTGTAGTATTTAGTCAACAAGCTGTTTGCAGCTTCTGAATATTCAGATTCAATTTGTACAGTCAGTTTAACATGGATTTAGTAAACTGGACCATTGTGAAAAAAAATTTATTTGAACATCTTCTCATATCTCTATCTTTTTATTATTCTACTAATCAGTCTTTTGACAATAAATTTGTAAAACGTTTTGACCTGTTAGAGTAGAATATTATAATGCTCAACTTAACTTGTGGAGTTTTGGTGGTGTCAAGGTCCTTTGACATGGTATCAAAGCCGCCTGTGTTTGAATCTTACTAGGCAAGAATTTAAAGTGGATTCTAGAAAAAAAAATGATACCACAGAAGCCTGAGTCTAGGTTTCTACCCATAAGCAGGATGCTCAACCAAAGCGGCACTACCACATATTTGCTCTAACGCAACGGTTCAAAACCGTTGCGCTAGCCATGGAACCGTCGCCCTTGAGCAAGTGCGACGGTTCTCAACCCGCCTCATATGCTGCCGTTGCCCTAGCTCTACCGTAATGGTTTTGAACTCTATTGCGACGGTTTTTTGAACCGTTGCCCCCGCATCTAACGCAACGGTTTTAAAAGGTAAGCGGTTTTTAAGCTATTGCAACGGTTTTGATTGAGCTATTACGACGGTTTTTAAGCTATTGCAGCGGTTTTGATTGAGCTATTGCGACGGTTTTTCAAGCTACTGCAGTGATTTTTTTAGATATTACAACGGTTTTAAAAGACCTAACACAACGGTTTTAGTAGGCTAAAGCTATGGTTTTGATAGAGCTACGGCAACAGTTGGAGCTATTACAACAGTTTTAAAAGACCTAACGCAACGGTTTTAGTAGGCTATAAGTATGGTTTTGATAAAGCTACGACAACAGTTGGAGCTATTACAACAGTTTTAAAAGACCTAACGCAACAGTTTGGATTGAGCTATCGCAATAGTTTGGATCGAGCTATCACAACGGTTTGGATCGAGCTATCGCAACGGTTTTGATCGAGCTATCGCAACGGTTTTAATCGAGCTATTGCAACTGCTCAATCGAAGCTGTTCTTGGTTTCCTACGTCAAAATAATTATAGTATTCAATTACCTGGACAATCTTTTTAAGAAGATGGCCAAGTCAAATTTTAATACACAATATAAAAGTGATTATGTTGAGCATAATCAACCATAATGATAAGTGCCAACATACATCAGTATAGTATAAAAACTACAAAGTATTAAATCCACACTACCAACATTTCAACTCAGAAAATATCGTACCGAACTAACATTCAAACAATGTACATCAACATTTGATTACAAAACATGAAACTTCTCGGTCAAAGACTATATTCTCTATTTGTTTCCAAAAACTTGTTCCTCAATGTCAAATACTCACTAGGAACCTGTCAGTATCAATCGATGAGAGTTGGCCACAGAAATAGACCTGAAAGCATCGTCAGCAGAGAGTTCAGGGGGTTCCATGATGCATTCACAGGTCAAATCTCAAGGTCACCAATTGAGAGCTCTTCGGCACCTAGCATCTTCACTTTCTGCAGTTACACATCCATAAATCTCAGGAATTAGACAAAATATTGTGATTTACTTCTAGCTCATATCTTTGCTAACGTATAAACAGAAGGCGTAATGCATAAATACAAATCGTTAAAATTAAAACTCGACGGTGCCATAGCTCTACAAATTTTTGACTTCTTTGGGTGAGATTTGCATTTTGACATCACTCTTGTGTTCTCAATCTGTAAGCAATTAGTCTTCTGAGATCTTTTATTCTTCTAGTTTTCGCTCGTAGTCTCGTTAAACTACGCGTATCACATTTGAATATGGGTGATAAGATTGTAGATAAAGTACTTCAATCATTTTTGTAGTCCTATGTTATGTTATCCAACTGATGATGCCCCTCAAAATGCCTAAACAATTGATCATCATAACTTCTCTCTTAATCATATCTAAATTGAGGCATGCCTAAACAACTGATGATGTAGTTTGCATATGATACAAAATTGATAAATATATCTGGGAGCAGAAACAATACCGATTCAATGGCATAACAAGGGACCATCAAGATAACACCAACCAGAAACTTCTGCTCCTGTAATTTCACAGACAAAAAAACAAAATTAAAAAAAATCCAAATCAAGCTCAAAAATAACAACAAAGATGACCGATGATGACGACGATGACTAGAAGCAAAACCTCAGGATTCTTGTAACCATTAGATAACACCAACCTTCGTAAATTCTTAAAGCCACTGTGACGCATGAAACTTACTTTTTCTATCAATACATTTTCTTAGCTTCATATTGAAATAATAGTATTGTCCTTCTATGAACTAGCAGGAAAAGACTCGTGTAAACTGCTTGACAAGCTAAATAAGAGATAGGACCAGTTGCCTCACAAAATATGTTAACAATATACAGACATTGTATCACTATTATGAATAACTGGTTTCTTCAATTCAAGAGGATTTCCTTTGGTAGATGCTGGGAACATAAATTTTAAGGAAACATATATAGAATACAGGATGAACAAGCAAAGATTAACACCTGGCAGTTTCAACCGCAAATTAACAATAAAAACTGATTAAGACGCACTACCTTGCTTTACTTAAAAAGAACAACATTCATGAACGTGAATGATCATATTTCATGAACAGGGCATAATCATGAGTTAAGGTAAAATGCCTGCACATCCGTATCAAACAATATTGCAAATGAAAATATAAAAGAGAATATGAAAATATAAAATAGACCAGATTTTTTTGTTCTTTTTTCATATTAGATCCAGGCATGACCAGTTTAGAAACAGCAAAACCTCAGAAGAATTCTCACATTTCCTAAGATTCTAGACTAGAAGTGTAAAACAAAACTATAGACAATAAACAAGATCGTACATGTCTTACCGGAGTAGGTAACTTTGGGACTACTAGGCTGGTTTTCTTTGGACCCTGTTGCTCAGGGCTTTTGTGCTCCCCAGGAGAATCTGCTTTATTAATAGAACCTTGTGCACGCCTATCATCAGACTTTTCCTTATATTCAGAAACCTTCTCTTCTCCATACTGTAAATGTGATCTTGCAGTAGAATTTCTAGGTATCCATCTTTTATCTTCATATTTGGCGATTGAACTATTTTTCAGGCTACCGCATCCAGCTATACAAATCTTAAGTAGAACTGTGAAGAATCACAGTACAAGAAAATTAGAATTAGAAGCAAGCGTACTTTGCACGAATGAAGTTCTCTATTCCAACTCTGTCATAGTTTGGAGGAGTTCTGCTTCCCAATAGCTATTTGCCTTTTCATTTCCCATTGCTGTGAATGACCAGTGCCAATTAAAACAAATCAGCCGCCCCAAACATGTGCCAATACAAATGTCTATACAATAAGCACGAGTATAAAAACATATCGCATACTACATGTAATTTGAAGTAGCTAAAAGGTGCAAAGAATTACATTGAATAAATGCAACCTGCTCTGGAAGCCATGTGTCCAGGGTTGCAGATCTTACCTGCAGTTGACACGAAGCAGTTATTGAGATGCATCAAAATTCTAATAGATACTAGTTTGACAAATCAGAGCTGAGGCAAGTATATGTTGCATTTCAGTGACTCATTCGCATTCCTAGACAGAGGAAAGCTAAGTTGACTTTCAATCGTGTAAGCAAACTTGAAAGTAAGCTAAGTTCACACTTACCCATCGTGGACCTCTGCAAAAAGATAAGTCATGGTCAGCATCCAGAAGTACAAACTAAACTTGAAATATAACATTGGAAATTCCAAGGTGAAAGATATCATGATCCCTTTTACAGTTTTTACAACACTCAGAAAAACCTGTTCACAATGGGCTGGATCCTAAAATCCAACATCATTACACAATTTGAATCTTACAATCTAAACAATATAATACATATGGATCTAATAATGTAAAATCTCAAAAAGTGTATGGTGTAAATGCCTCACCAGGAAGCCTTTGATTAGTAAGTATGACTAGAAAAAGAGTATTTGAATAGAAGGTTCTATCAACGGGTAAATATATACTCCCTTGTCTTCAAGTAAGTGGCAATAGATGAATTAGAAGGTCTAGTCGATTGGTACAAAAGGCACATTGAACGTCACTTTAGTTAATCCCTAAGTATTTGAACAAGCCTACAAGTTAAAGAAGATAAACAGTCCAACAGTTTTCAATGGCTCATGTCCACATCAAGAAGATCTGAAGACAATATATTGTCCACTTATTAGTGCATTTGTTCCCAGCAATTAGGCGTATCTTAAACCGCTGAAAGAGAATAGAACCAGCCTAGGACATTCTTTTAAGAAAAAAATTAGGCTTCACATGCTTCGTTCCTTTTCTACCTACCGAGCAGGAGATAAGAATCATTTTCAGCCTTGTGAAGATCGAGGAGACTGACATCCTTTGTACAAAGGTAAATTACTAATAGTAGTGTACCTGCTAGATTATCAAAAAAATGTCCTGATGGGAGTAATGTCGAAAGGGAAGATGTTCACTAATAAGAGAGTTCTGAATCACACAATAAAGATTATAAAACAAAATTACTTTAAACTAATTAATAATACTTCAAACAGATTTGACCAATATCATATTATTCAAACGCGTTAACATAGCCTCCGTCTAATTTGGAAACTTGCAAGAAATAACAAACTGAATTCAAAATTAAGCAACCAATAGTATTTGATCTTATGATTTTTGCTTTTTAAGCATTGTGCGCTTGGTAGCTAACCTCCTTCTCATCTACTTTAAGCTTATAAATGTTCCTTACTCACTTCATGCCCATCTCCTTTTGCAGCATGAATTAGGCTGCCAAAACTATGAGGCTTGTGGTGATTCTCTATTCACCAGGAGGTACAATAGAACTGTTAAATTGACAACATTTGTTGATTGAGCCTGGAGCTAACACCTTTAATAATCATCCAGAGATTCCAAACCTCAACACCTTCGGTAACCATCCAACTAGCATAGCAACACCAGCGAGAAATTACAAATAGGAGATCACATCAATGATAATTTGTCAGAACTGATGATCTTAGAGCTACAGTCCACAGGCTTTAGTTTAATATATCTATTCGTACTCAGTGCAAATATAGGTGGGAATGTTTAGCTTGGATTACTCTTGAGCTTACAAAGGACGAGGTAATCAAACACATTATTTGCACTCACTGCAAAATAAATCCAGGTCTGCAAGTGATAAGGCACAGGTTGAACCCTGAACACTAAGAAGATTCAATTAGCAGCTACGCATATAAATTATGAAGTATGAACTCTTTTCAATACAAATAAATATGTTTCCTCACCTTTGCATCTTATTATCTTTCTTGATCCAACAAGTCCAGACGTCACATGACTATCCAATCCCTCGCAAAAAAGAATAAACTGATACAACAGTTCAAACATTCTACTGATACAACAATAAACCGACAAATGGGCATCATTTGATGTACAAGACAGTAATGATACTAGACTGAGCTTCACTAGTGCCATGAGAATCAAAAGCCCCTATGGTGGAGGCACAACTACAAAAAGCCCTAGCGATTTTAGGGAGCGGGAAATTTTGGCAATCGTGATTTTTGGGAGCGGAAAATTTTACGGATTTCGTTAAGCGGTCAGGGCCAAAAGTCTTCGACAGTTGAGGGAAATATTTCGTTAAGTGGTTAGGTCCGTGGGCTTTAAAAACTTAAGCTCCAAAAGCCAAGGAACAATTATTAGATCCATGGATAATTATTAGGCCTATAGCAACGTTTTTTTATAAATTGTTGCATTAGGTATTCTAAACCGTTGCAATAGATATCTAACGCAACAGTTAAAACCGCTGTACCTTAACCGCTGCAATAGATCAATTATGTGGTAGTGCGGGCACATCAGAGTGGTGTCTCATGGCGCAAGTTTACTCAAAAAGTATCAGAAACCTTGAAAAATCAGGGAAAATCTGTGTATGATAGTAAGAAATTGAGAAGGATCAAAGTCTTTACCTTATACATATGCATTGCCACTCTCAAATCTTTATCAAACCATTCAGTTCCTCCTAAAAGAGATACCAGTTAAGCAATCTTTCATCTGTAGGAAGTTTAGAGTTCCTGTCATAAAAAATGTAGTAAGTTTGGGCATCTCAGCAAAAGAAAATAAGTTGTACATTTTCTAAAATCATATAACGTGGTCATTTATTTGATTTTGCCAGGAATTTAAGAAGAAAATATGGAGAAATTGAGCAAACAAATAAGCAAATGTGTTATCCCATAGAGAGCAATATGTCCATATAGTTAAATTTACAATATTCTAATGACAACTGTTCCATATATTGCTACATTGGCGTCATATTTCAAGGTTTGACTGATCCATTTCTTTCAACTCAAGACAAATACCTAATCATTGCACTTTGTGACACACTAGCATTTCAAATAACAATGACAAATTGCTATGACCTGGCACCCAACCCCACCCCACCCCTCCCCCCCACCTCAAACTTTTCCCTAGTTCCACTAACCCCCAAACTCCAAAAGAGTGTCAATATTTCACCAAAAATTTTAAATTTTCCCCAACAAAATCCCGCAAAATGCAAGAAGAGGAAGAAGATGAACCCAGAGAAAAACGTAGGAAGAACACAACTTGGGCTAATAATAACATCCTCCAATTTGCAAGAGACCTTGTTGGAGATTTTGTGGGAAAGTTAAAAGTTCTTGGGGGTTAATTTTAGGCACGCTGCAAATTTTGTGTAATTTTTGGGAAAGTTGGAGCTAGAGGAAAAACTCAAGTTCTGGGGGGTTTCGTGACGACACGCCCGCATATCTTCGCGGGGTCTTGGTGAAATTTATCCGCATAGGAACTAGGATCAAGTTTAATAGCTTAAACTTTATGAGTTAGCTATTGGTTCTTCTCAACCTCTTTTTCTGATTTGAACAATCTCAGCATAAGTGATTTTGAAATTCTCCAAGTTCGTCTTGTCATGATTAGAATTTTTTCATTTACTTCATAACTCGAGATAAAATTGAGAAAAACGAAATACAAAAGTATTTCTTTTGGCTATGATATATATACGCATAATATATATATTATATAATACTTACTATTATATATAATAAATATATAGATGAGAGATGAGAGAGGAGATGAGAGAAATGGGTATGCCGGCGCCCTTTTTTTTTGGGATACCGTTAAGCCATAAATGTTTAATGCTTGGTAGGATGTTCACATCACTCATGCCAACTCAATACCCATTGCAATGTTTGTCCCATATTTGAAATGAGTGGCGAGGTGGATGTGAGCACATTCACTACCGAAGGCACACTTTTGTGCTTGTACCCAAGTATTAGCCCATTCATTTCTCATAATACTATAATAATATATTATATAATATAATATATATTATATATATATAATATTAATATATATATAATGAGAGAGAGAGGAGAGAGAGAGAGAGAGAGAGAGAGAGAAATGGTATATCTTGTTACCCAGCAGCAAATTTGTGGGCTTGTAGTGATGGTGTCCATCATCGCACCCATTCATTGGGTTGGACCACAATTCCAACTCATGTGATGTGGTCCCCCTACTTTAAATGAGTTGGAGGAAAATATGGCGCCGTCACTACCAAGTCACAAATTTTGTGCTTGGTACTAAACATACCCATATTCGCTCATATATATATATTTATTATATAATATATATATTAATATACTATATATTGATATATACGTAGCGAGAGAAGAGAGAGAGAGCGAGAGAGAGAGTAAAACTTGCTGTCAACTTAATGTGGAACTCCACTAAGTTCTATAGTCGATTGATTACACTTGATTTGAGGCTATATTGTGGATGAGCCGCCGTTTAAACTTTGATCTACAATATTCTATTAAACCGAACAACACAGCCAAATTGTGGGGGAACCCGTGGTGGTTTGACCCTCCGTCGAGCCATCTAATAAAAAGTTCTACTTATTCGTTCGAAAACGTAAATTGAACGAATCAGATGAATGGATCAAAACTTACGATCGGTTCACTGCCCAAATTTGGTGTGTTTGTGTTTAGGATATATAGATCAAGTTCAAGAGCGGAATCATCAAATGTTCTCATCTATAATCATCCAATGATTAAAAACCTTAGTGGACGTCCACCATTAAAGTGACAGAAGTTTCGCTCTATATATTTATATATATATATATTATATATATTATATATCATATATACTATATATATACTAATATATATATATAATATTATAAATACTATACTATACGTATATATATATATATATATATATAATATAGGAGAGAGAGAGAGAATGGGTTACATATGTCATATAAGAGGATTCCCTCATATACAATGATGTGGGCAAATCTCCACGCAAGTAATAAAAGTAGGAGAGAGAATGCCTCATAAAATACAGCTTTGGTGGAATTGTGCCACATCTATGTATATGAGAGAATCCCTCTCATATGAAATATGATACTCCATTAATTCTCATATTATATATATATTATATTATAATACTATAGCGAGTATACCTTAAAAAGACCATCCAAAAGATTATCAAATAATTCACCAAAATTTTTAAATTTTCCCACAAAATCCCGCAAAATGCAAGAAGAGGAGAAGATGAACCCCAGAGAAAACGAGGAAAGAACAAACTTGGGCTAATAATAACATCCTCCAATTGCAAGAGACTTTTTGGAGGATTTTGTGGGGAAAAGTTAAAAGTTTTGGGGGGTTATTTAGGCACGCTGCAATTTTGTGTATTTTTTGGGAAAAGTTGGAGGCTAGTAGGAAAATCAAAGTTCTGGGGGGTTTCGTGGACGACGCCCCATATTTCGGGGGTCTTGTGAAATTTATCCCCATAGGAGCTAGGATCAATTTTTAATAGCTTAAACTTTTGAGTTACTTTGGTTCTCAACCTCTATTCTGATTTGAAATCTCCAAAGTTGATTTGAAATCTCCAAAGTTCGTTATGTCATGATTAACGAATTTTTCATTCTTCATAACTCGAGATAAAATTGAGAAAAACGAAATACAAAAGTATTTCTTTTGGCTATGATATATATACGCATAATATATATATTATATAATACTTACTATTATATATAATAAATATATAGATGAGAGATGAGAGAGGAGATGAGAGAAATGGGTATGCCGGCGCCCTTTTTTTTTGGGATACCGTTAAGCCATAAATGTTTAATGCTTGGTAGGATGTTCACATCACTCATGCCAACTCAATACCCATTGCAATGTTTGTCCCATATTTGAAATGAGTGGCGAGGTGGATGTGAGCACATTCACTACCGAAGGCACACTTTTGTGCTTGTACCCAAGTATTAGCCCATTCATTTCTCATAATACTATAATAATATATTATATAATATAATATATATTATATATATATAATATTAATATATATATAATGAGAGAGAGAGGAGAGAGAGAGAGAGAGAGAGAGAGAGAAATGGTATATCTTGTTACCCAGCAGCAAATTTGTGGGCTTGTAGTGATGGTGTCCATCATCGCACCCATTCATTGGGTTGGACCACAATTCCAACTCATGTGATGTGGTCCCCCTACTTTAAATGAGTTGGAGGAAAATATGGCGCCGTCACTACCAAGTCACAAATTTTGTGCTTGGTACTAAACATACCCATATTCGCTCATATATATATATTTATTATATAATATATATATTAATATACTATATATTGATATATACGTAGCGAGAGAAGAGAGAGAGAGCGAGAGAGAGAGTAAAACTTGCTGTCAACTTAATGTGGAACTCCACTAAGTTCTATAGTCGATTGATTACACTTGATTTGAGGCTATATTGTGGATGAGCCGCCGTTTAAACTTTGATCTACAATATTCTATTAAACCGAACAACACAGCCAAATTGTGGGGGAACCCGTGGTGGTTTGACCCTCCGTCGAGCCATCTAATAAAAAGTTCTACTTATTCGTTCGAAAACGTAAATTGAACGAATCAGATGAATGGATCAAAACTTACGATCGGTTCACTGCCCAAATTTGGTGTGTTTGTGTTTAGGATATATAGATCAAGTTCAAGAGCGGAATCATCAAATGTTCTCATCTATAATCATCCAATGATTAAAAACCTTAGTGGACGTCCACCATTAAAGTGACAGAAGTTTCGCTCTATATATTTATATATATATATATTATATATATTATATATCATATATACTATATATATACTAATATATATATATAATATTATAAATACTATACTATACGTATATATATATATATATATATATAATATAGGAGAGAGAGAGAGAATGGGTTACATATGTCATATAAGAGGATTCCCTCATATACAATGATGTGGGCAAATCTCCACGCAAGTAATAAAAGTAGGAGAGAGAATGCCTCATAAAATACAGCTTTGGTGGAATTGTGCCACATCTATGTATATGAGAGAATCCCTCTCATATGAAATATGATACTCCATTAATTCTCATATTATATATATATTATATTATAATACTATAGCGAGTAT